TATAACATGCAAAGTTAAGATAGTTGATATAGATATACTATAAAGCAAGCAAGAAGTCAGTATATATAAGCTACATGAAAACAATTACAGAAAGCTCAGATACACTTAATAGGAAATAATCAGAGTTGATCTGGCTGGAATGTGGGTGTTAAACAACAATTATTCTTGGTACAATAATTAAATCATTTTAATGCTGTCTAGTGCTCTGAACCCATTAAATCCAGTCTTAAAAGAATAAAAGGAACCAAATACTAAAGATGTAAAACTTTGGCCATTTCAGCTGACTATGGGATTATGAATAGTAACAGACAAGGTGACAAACTGGATTTTTTGGGCTCTGGCTACGTAGTAAACTAAGGCAAACTGAGATGAGACAACTTGGGTGCATCTGTGACACAGTCTTGGTCCAATTCTAGAACTCAAGAGTATTGAGACCATTGTGTGGAGTAAAACAGAGAAAAATAGTTAAATGTCTCCTCCATAAAAACTGATAGCATATGTCAACCACTGAACAATTTATTGAAGTGTTTTGTCTCTCAGATATGCATAAGCAATCTGAACTATTGGGAAAGAACAAGTCAGTGAGTGGAGTAATAAAAATAACATGTCTGTCAAAGTGTCTAACAGTGCTGTCCTACAAACAAAACTAAGTGTGTATTTCAGTTTTTTTTTGTACTTTGAATGTATCAATATGATAATTCAATACACTTTTTGAAAAATAAATGCTGTTAAAATAAGATGACTATCAATTTGACTAAATTATTTTCGAATGATAGGTAATGCAGTCTTTTAAGACATACAGCACCAATATTTTCTAAGTAACAGAAATTAATCTAAAATGATGTTTAAGAAATGTCAAAAATGTCTCTAAAATTGGAATATTAAAAGGGCAGCCTATGCAAAGTGCCCATTTTGAAATTTGAAATAGCTCTGCTGTGGATCCCGCTATTCAGAGGAAAAAATAATCAAAGCTCCTGATGAACTAACCGACCTTAAGGAACAAATCATTTTCCAGAATGAGATCTTAGTAATGCGTCAGAATTGCTGGAAGAGTGAAATATCGTAGAGTGAAACGCAAGAAAAAGGCTCAGCCCTCGCAGTCAGATCTCATGCATCAGGGCTGCTTCCATCACAGGCGCCTTGGGGAAGTGTTTTCTGCTGCCCGTGCGTGCCCAGACACGAGAACTGCACTCATCTATGGCTCATTAACTACTTACTGGAGACAGAAACCGGCTTGGTGGGAGGTTTGGAAGAACTGTGCAACTTATAATCTTTTCTCTTCCTTCTTTTTTCGTTTTGCTTGGGGATCACCCGTATATTCTATTTTCTAATTTCCCGGAAGTTCCCTGAATTTCACTGCTCGGTTATTTCACCTTGATCAATCTCTCCCTGTGGAGAGATTGTCCTCTATATTCACTTACTTTCTTCCTTTTTTCTCTACCAATTATGACTTCTTTACCTTGAAATATTTCTCTCTGAAGACGGGGGCCAGGTTCATTGGTGCACAACCTTTGCACTTGCAAAGAACCATTGCTAGAAGGGCATCACTTGGTTTAATGCTCTGTAATGACCGACTTGCAGTTCTCCATTTTGTCTTTGAACTTGTGTTTTGTAAATGAAGCATGTATGTGAGCAGAGGAGATATATGTGATATGCCTGCTTATTGTTCCCTGCCACAAATGCTTCACAGGTAGCATTTGTGATGCCCCATGAGTGGAGAATTCCAGTGGATCCATAATGCCTGGAAGTTCAGCAAAATTCAAAATGAGTACAAGATAAATGTGTCATGTCTGTGACTGAGTAAGCAAGGGCACGGATAGCCCTCAAAGGCCACCTGCTCTTCTTGAACCAGAACTTCTGCAGACAGAAAAAACATCTAAGGGACCCTATCATATTCTTCCTTATTCATCTTACTTTCTTCTTTTAGATAGTTACATTGAAAATGATGACATAGGAGGAAAGGAAAAGATAGGGAACCCAGAATTCCTTTTCTTTCCAGTGTTTCCTAACTCTTTAGTAAGCAAAAGGTAACATGTTGGCAGAATATCAAATTTGGTGCATTTCAAGACATGGATTAAAAACAGTGGAATTAGTTTGTGCCATGTTGCCACCAGATACATGTTTGTGTATGAGCTATGAAATACGAATTGTGTGATGAGTGATTTCACATGAGTTAAATGCTCTGTGTTTGTATTTAAAACTGTATTATAGTATGAATATAAAGATGAAGGGTACGTACAAAGGTGAAGGGTAAAATTCATTCTAATAGTTTAAAATTTTATTTTTCTTTCCTTAGAAGTACATTGAATAGCAAATAAAACACTGTTACAAGTTGGTGTGGGGGGGGAGGGAGATGAGAAGGGGAGATGGTGACAAAAGAAAAAGGCTTTATTTTTTGGTACCTTTAACTGCACTTTTTTCCCTGCTTTCTGATTGAGGAGAATTGCATTTTCATTTTGCAATGGGTCCTGCAGATCATGCAGCTGGCTCTGCTGAAGACTTCTCAGTTGAAATTGTGGGCCTTGTTTTTACTAAGTATGACTGAGAAGCATAACATTAGTGCTAGTAATATGTCTGAATTATGGAAAGGGAAATTATGGTGGCTCTTTAAAGTCCTTAGAAATTTTCTTTGCATTCTCCAGAACATTTAAATAAAACTAATTCTTTTTCAAACAAGAATAACCAAAATGATTTGTTTCTTCTTTAATGATATTGCTTTATTTTATCATGAGGCTTTCAAAACTATTTTTTTCTACTGGTATTTACTGAAAAACTATGTAGTATTTCAGCTGTGTTGTGGGTTATGTAGACTGATCGGCCAACACAGGAATCACAATGCAATTTCTGGCATGGATTGAAAACCTTATCATTATTTCAGTCTCCAGAAGGAGAAATGTGTTTTAAGTGCTGAATAACTGATTTACACTCTAACTTTTGCTCCATAGCCTGTTTGTGAGTCAGGATTTATCTGATTTTAGTTTGCATTTTTTTATGATTCAAATATGATGCTTGACATATTGAATTTACTTTTAAATTAGAAAATTTGTTAATATTTATTTAGAATTTAATCAGGAAGATGCAGGAAGCAAAGAGGAAAAAGAAAGTTTCAAATTTTGTATACCAAGATTCAGACATTTCCTGCTCATATTCCTGCTTCTGTAGTTACTACAAGGAATACTTTTAACTCATTTTTAATCATTCATTTCCTAGAGACCCTGCCCCCAAATTAGACGTTTTCTATGAAATTATCCTATTATAATGGAGAAAAAGTGCTAAATGTGATTCTTCTCCAAGAATGTTAATTGTCTTTGATCAATAAAAAGAGTTAGGGATTTTAATTTAAAATGGAAAAGAAAATAAAAAATGATGAAAATGAAAAGAATTCCCTCTAGTCTTTATGTCATCTATGGTCACTTTTAATAATTATTTTTCTACATATTAAATCCATCTTTCCCACCTCATCTTTTGAATGCACAATCTTCTCAGATGAGATCATCCTAATTTGAGACTGGCAGAAGTAGCAATAAATAGCTATCTGGATTTCTAGGTCGTAAACTCAATACAAGCCAGCTTTGCCTATCTTGAGTTATTTCTTGGTACACTTCATTACTTTTTTCTTTTTAACTGTATTTTATTCTTCTATCTCCGTATCATGTAAGGCAAGTAGTTTATAAGAGGATAAATACATGTGTTATTTAAATGATCTGTTTTGGTAAATCTAACAGATCTAAAAAATTATGTTTATATGAGAAAAACTTCCTTAGGATGGTTTTTCTGACAGGTTTTGATTATAGAGCATATGTAGCTTTTTTTACAAAGAGGGGACTGTTAAGATTATAAATTAAAATGGGGAGTTTGCCATCATTTCTCTTATTGAACCAGTCGTGTTTGTTTGCAGTAATTGACCCTGTTGAGATCTTCATTTTAATTCCACAGCTTTTAGAGAATGTTGGCTTGTTTTGTTTTCATGAAGACTTCTTTTTCCTCTCAAAATGCTACTGGATTAAGTTTATTCCCAGGTTAATAACTTTTATTAAAAATTGTGTTCGTGTGTATTTTACAAAAACAACCTGAAGGCAGAAATTTATCTGCTACTGCTATAGTCAATGTTGATACGGGAAACTATGAGGAAACCCTAAGTGACATGTCTAGCGTGTGTATTAGTCCACTATCACACAGCAGCAACCACAAAAACCGCAAACACCTAGTGGTTTTTGAGCAACTCCTGTGTATCAGAGTCTTAAAAAAGCATTATTTCATTTAATCCTCACAATAATCCTGAGATAAAATTAAATTCTAGGACTACCCCTGATTCCAGTACCACCCCACTCCAGCCAACAAGCTTTTACTTTCTTAAACTGGCATAGAACCACGTGTAAATAGTATTTCAGCATCCTTTGTGTAACTTAAAAAGGTCTAAAGGGGAGGGCGTTTAGGGGCCCTCTGGTCTTTTAACTGATAACCATGGTTCTTTCTGGAAATCCGGTAACAGGGAACTAACTAGTGCCTCTCTCCGGGAACAGACTGCTTTGATCCGGGCAGGAGTTCTGCTCTAAGGTGCCTAGTTTTCCCTACTGAATAACCCGGCCCAAATCAGTGTCCCTCTTCCTTTCCCTGTGGGTCTCAGATTACTTAAGTGTGAGATCAGAAATTTGGATAAACTTTTCTTTGACTTTCACTGAACTGACTCTGGAGGTGAAAGGTGGTGGTAGAATGAGAAAGGTCAGTCAGCTATCCTCTCAAGATCTGGGAAGGGCGGATTTTCCGCGTTAAATTCAGGGGCTAGGAAGCCGACAGCAACGTCGGGCGGGGCCAGGAGCCCAGCAGCGCAGACGCAGTTTGAAATGCCGCGCGAGAGCAGCCGCAGCGTTCTCCTCACTTCCGGAAGCCCCGCCTGCTCCCAGGCGGGCTTCACGCCACACTTTCTGCGTCCCGGGCGAACTACATTTCCCAGAAAGCCATTCCAGCGGCTCGCAGGGCACCAATAAGTTCCTGGGTGACGCCATCAATCCGCGCGATGTTTAGACTCTACTGATGTCGTGGCGCTCCGGGGAAGAAGTTGGGAGTTTCGCCCGGGCCCTGGTACTGAAGACGCGGTCCGGGTGACCCCAGGTCCCTTCCAACGCACACGTCCAACCGCCTTTCTCCCCACTCTTCTGGCAGAATGAGGCGTGCAGGCCTGGGTAAGAATCGAGCTGAGGTTCGAAGTTCGGGGTCCTGGTACCGGCAGTGCTGGGCGCGAGCACACCGAAGGAAATCACACTGGTCTTATGTCACTGGAATCTGGGCCAGAAAGCAGGATATACGGAGGGGTGTTTGGAGGCGGTGCCAAGTGGAAACACACCATTTGTCCCAGGTCTCAGGAATTTCCTTAAATTTGGTTCAGTCCCAAGTTTGAATGGTAGGTTTAGATAGAGTAGTGGAGCCCTGCGAGTGGGGTATGTTCAGGTGACAGCAGTCGAGGTTTTTAGTTTAGTAGCTGAGTGTGATTATGGAAACTGCGCTGTTTCCCAAGTCCTGCTTCGCCTTTATTTCTCGACTGTCCCTGGATGTTAGTTTCTTCAGAAGCGAGTGTTGCGTGCGACTCACACCGAAAATAATCATGTTAGTCTGTTAACAGCGAGTTACAAAAGTAAATGTATGTGTCATTACGGTTAAAGGCCATGGACGTAACATCGGGGTCAAAGGCGATTTTACCCAGGACATTACTTACCCGAGTCTTAGTCCACTATTAAGAAGGTAGAATGTGGTAATGTTCGGTGACTTGGCATTTGTTCTTGACCTTTTGTGTTAGGTTCAACAAGCGACAGAATACGTTAGGCACAAGGACTTTCAATGGGCCATTATAACACAAAGCTGCTTTAAGAGTTCTTAGCTTTCTATTAAGAGACAATTTTCAAAAAGGGAAGAAAGCCCTGCTAAATCAGTGTACCTTATACCTAAGAAAATATATGAAATATTTGAGAAAGATGTTTTTCAGTTGTTGTAATATGATGGAAATAGAAAAAAAAATTTTTCAGAAGAGTCAGTTACTTAAATCTGCCAAAAACTGTAGACTTCTACATTGATTAATAAATTGTAATAATGAGAAACAGCTTTTAAAAGAATGTAGTTTTTATATACTTGGCTCATAAAGTTGGTCAGGTAAATTGTAGAGAAGAAAGTCATTTTGACCAAGTTTATTTTTTTATGCCAAAATGTTTCTTCTCATCTTTAATGACAACAAATATTTATTGTGTACTTGAATAAACTCTAGTATTCAGTTGTTTGTGCTCCCCAAAGTTTCCAGTGTAATCTGGGAAGTAGGAACATGTACGAATATAAATTATGGTGAAGGGTGATAGCAATATATCCAAATATCAAAGAAGTTCTGTAGATAGTGAGTGTATCCAGGATTTCAGAGATTGAGCACTGCATACATTATGGAGACATAAGAACTTGAACTAGAGCTTGAATAATGAAAGGTGGGAGAGGTACATTCCAATTGGAAGGCTAACACCACCACCTCCCCAAAAAATTTTTTTGGACTAGAATTATGAATGGTGTATTTAATGGATTATGAGTAAGCTGTTTTGAATGAAGTAAGAGACATGGAACCAGAACTACATTGTGTAGATCTTTGAGTGCCAAGACAAGGAGTTTGGATCTCGTCAGTAGGCCCTTTGGCCCCTTTGAATGTCTTTGTGTAGCAGTGTGCCATGACAATTTGCAGAAAAAGGACTTCAGACGTGGTGGTTCTCAGCCCTGACTCTACGTTAGAATCACCGGAAGACCTTTTAAGGCAGTGCTACCTGGACCCTAGCTCAGAATAGGAAAAAAGGGGGGTTTGGGGTTTTTTTTTTTTTGGAAGCACCTCCATAATTGAGAGGAAAGGGATTATTTAGATGTATATTTCTAACATTTACATTGGTGTCACGTGACAAGCTTTTTAAAAAATTTAGCAATGTTATTGACCTATAATTTTAAACTTGGGATAAATAATGAATCTGACAGATACTTATGTGAAGAAGCTGCCATACTTCCCATGAATCTCCAAATGACTTGACTCAGTTATTGAGTGGGTGGGTGGGTAAAGGTGTGAGGAAAGATTAACTCTTAAAAGAAGAAATGTGCATTGAAAGATTTCTGGACAATCAAGTGAGAATTTCACTTTAAGTAAGTGGAACAATGTGGAAGAATTCTAAAATAAAGATAAGCAAAATAACAAAATGAAATGAAGCAAATAGACATTAATTTAGAAATGAATTTCTTGATAAAGTTGTCAAGTGATTAAATTCAATTAGTTACTTATTGGACATATGTTATATATGAACCTTAGTCACATAAAATAAGACATTTTCCTTTTCTTTAGGAACTTTGGTCCATATTAAAGTAGAACGTGTATAGAGTAACAATGATTGATGAAGTATGTATTCTTTTAATGATATTTTAATTATTGAGTTGGGGAAAATATTGTGCATAGTCACTTGAGTTCTTGACTTTTATTTGTAGAACCTTATGGATAACATGTCAGCAGTTGAGGGAAAAATTGAGGAATGCAACTCTTTCTCTTCTGGAACACACTTGCTTAACATTTTGTGTTTTTGTGGTGGTAAAGATTGTTTAAGTGTCTGTTGGATATGAATTTCTTATTAGGTACAGGGGATTTAGAAATATGAGACACTGTCTCTGCTGCCCTCAGAGGAGCCTATGATTTAATTCCTGAGAAAGGCAGGCACACTCAGAAGAACAGTGATTTCATATTCTATTCATTATTTGACTCACTTAAAAGTATTTATTGTTTGTGCCTTACTGTGTGTGTATGTATACATTTGTGGGGGATATGCAGCCGTGAGTGAAACAAGATTGTTGGAATGCATTCCAGAGTATAATATTAGTTATATACAGTCGACTGTAAGAATTCAAAGGAGGGAGTTTTGCTTTTCACAGAAAGTAAGATTTGTGCTGTGCCTTGAAAGAGCTTCCTATTCCCACCTCAAACATCCTTCCCCTACCAGTGCTGACTGCTACTTCCTGTCCTTTCATTTACTGTCACTGCAGCTCCATCTACTCTGAGCTTACAGGGACCTCTAGGTTCTCTATCATTTCTTTCTCCCATGTTCTCAGGGCCTATGTTGAAACTACATCGGTCCCTGTCCAGGCTAATCCACCAACCCATATCTTCACTCTTTTGTGAGCAATCTCAGCCCCTTGGGGCTCTGTTCTTCTGCAACCATAGCACTGTACACCTCCAACTCTCAGTCAGTCCTGACATCCAGCTTCTCACAGGCTAACTCAGGCTGAGGACTTCTGCAGAAAGATCACACATCCAAAAGCACTGAAACCACTGTGATGTATTGCCTCAGCCAGGATTGCCTTATTTCTGTTGGGCTTGTGCAGACCTCATCACCTTCCTCCATCATTCTCTTTACAGTTTTTTTTCAAATGTGGTTAAATAACACCTTCAACTCTGCTTTGCTTTCTCAAACTGACACATTTATATATGTATTCAATGTCCAAGTCTCACTCCACCTGTTTCATTGCCTGATGAATATCAAGTACTATATTAGACAAGGGAGGGACTGCATTCCTGCATTCTCAGTGCTATTCCTTAGAAGATAAGCTCTAAAAAGGAGCAGCAGAAAAACAATGGGTCTGACACATGGTAGTTTCTTAAATATTTGTTGAAGAATGAGTGAATCCCCCTCTTAATTAACAGCTACCATTCTCCATGAGATATTCCAGTTCTCTTCTATTAGATGCTGGTAAAGGACCCTTCCTCTGCCATGAGCTTTTTCCTGCTGTATTATCTTCTTTCCCTTCATAGCTGAGCATCTTCAGTGGATAGTTTCAAATGGTAATGGTACTACTTTTAGATCTGTTTTGAAACATGTAGTTCTACGGAGCAGGGAGTGTGTCCTGAATATCCTTGTATATCAGTGCCTATTTTACCATCTTGTGGACAGTCAATAAATAGTCAATGTATGTGTGTTGAATTATTCTGTGCTTAAGAGAGGACACTAGAAAGAATTGTTCTGATCTCACTTTGGTTTTAATTTATAAACTTCACTTGAAGTATGAATGTTATAGATATACATGGTCTGCAACGCCCTCCAGGGGTCTTTTATGGTTCTTTCCTATCAAGGTTTCAAAAGTGGCTTGTTTTTGCTACAACTACACTTGTGACACTGATCTTTGCAGGTGAGGGCATACCTCCTGGCAACTATGGGAACTATGGCCACGCTAATGCTGGGTATAGTGCCTGTGAAGAAGAAAATGAACGACTCACTGAAAGTCTGAGGAACAAAGTAACCGCTATAAAATCTGTAAGTATATAACAGTATTATGTACTTTTAAATTTGTATATTAACGTACATATATAATTACAAATTATACACTTTTATTGGCATCATCCTAAGGAATCCAGTACCCAGATAGTGTAGTTCAGTGAGGTCAAAATACAAAGTTGAGACATGATTTGAGTAAAAGGTTAGGAAAATGTGGCCAGTCAAAACATACAGTACATTTGTTCATTTGTTTAAACCTCAGCTGAAATACTGCGTGTTGTCTGCAGTAATGTCCCCGAGCAGTCCATCTTCCACCTGCAGGCAGCTCTTCAGACTTTTTCTCCTATTCTCCAGCCCTACAAATCTCAGGCTTTCATGTTTCTGCCTTTGTACCTCACATCAGTAACCAAGTCTTATTCTTTCTTTCTACTGTTTCTCTCTTTATACTTTTCTATTTCTAATACTGTCCCCTGTTTTTCTTAGGTGAACTATTAGAAAAGCCTCTTAACCTCTCTGTTCCTAATGTTTTGCATGTTCTGGTCTGAGCTACATACTATCACCACAGTCATCTTTATAGAGTATTTCTCAAATTGGATCCTGTACTTAGAAGTCCTCAGCATCTTCCCTTCTTGGAGGAAATAAAGCTCACACTCTGGAGCCTGATCAGATAGGTCCTTGAGAGATTGTCCACAGCTTTTCAGACCTTAGCCTCCCATGCTTCCAGAATGTGCATATACTTTCTACCAGACAAAGTAGAGTGCACTCTGTGTTCTATGCACACTATCCCTTTCCTGCTGCCCTGTTACTGACCATGCCATCCCTTTGCCTTAGGCGTCCTCTCCCTGTTTATATGAGTTGAAATCCTGTCCACCTGAAAGGCTCTGTTTCATTGCACCCCTTCCCTCCCTTATGCTTTACCAGATTACCACATCAAAAGTAACTTTTTTCTTTATGAACATAAGACCATTTGTACCATTTCTATAGCATTTATTGCATAGTGATCTGCACTAGAGTTATTTGTATGTAAAAGAAACTTACCAGAACGTAGGTTTTTCTATCGCACTTATTTTTATATTCTACCTAGCATGTAGCAAAATTCTTTATCACTGGTATTTAGTATGTATTAAATAAATGAATTACAAAAAGATGATTTTAACAGAGTATGTCATTGATTCTGCATTACAATGAGTGTGCTATACACTTACAGAGCATTCAGTAGAAGCCCAGTTGCTAACACTTAATTGGTATTTCATTAATCTTTAGAAAATAGAATTGTATTCATCCTGGGAACTGTTACATTCTGAAACAAGTATGGTTTTTAAAGTCATGTTAAAACAAAAGGAGTTGATCCATGAACTAAGCAATATAGTATAATGTTAATAATTTAGAAAATATAACACAGAGAGGGAATTAAGAATTAAGTGACTTTTCTTAACTCCAGCATTGATAAGTTAGGCTCCTTGTTAGAAAAGCTTTTTTCTCCCTGGAAAATTCTTTCCTTGGCTTGAATGACTGTTGTGGAAAATAGTGAGGTGATTTAGGCTATCTGGCTTTATAGTTGCCTTATTTTCTCTGTCTTGTTGAATTTAGGGGAAAAGCTCATATTTCTGATGTATGGAATCCTAGTATGGCTTTGTGTCAATATTACCCCATATGCTTTCCAGACAAAATAAGTTGAGGACAATATTTGCAATGGTTTGCCAAAGATTTTCAGTAGTGGCCTGTAGTTATTCAAATGTCTTAGAAGACAAGGCTTTGATGAATTTGTCTATAAAGTACTAGATAGGCTTTGGTTTGATAGCAGCCATAATCACTTACAATATTTTTTTGGCTCAGCTTCTTTTCTGCAAAGCTTCAGAATGTGGATGACATTTGTAAAGTTTATTTCCCAACTTACTATCATATTTTAAAGAAAAATACCTTTGGAATTAAAGAGATAACCAGTTTAGGTATACATTCAAAGTAATATCATATTTCATTAAGAAAATACTAAATATTAAGTGGAATTGATACTATGGGTACTTTTATACATCTTTTAAAATGTAAAGGAGGAAATGTACAGACAAATGCTGTTGTAAAGGAGAAAAAAGCATGCAAAGACAAGAGAACAAGAGAGAAGTGTGTACCAAAATTAAAAGATATGAGTAGGATATTAGATAAAATAAAAATGAAGAGCAGGGAAATAATATCTATAGTTGGGAAGGAATAGAAATTCTTGATTTATTTTGCATTGATTCCAGTGTGAAAAGTATCAGAAGAAGAGAGTATATTTTATATTTCTAAAATACAGTTTTATTTGATCAAAACAAATGTGAATGCTTAGAATGTGGCATTATTATTTTTACTTTATAACATTTAAATACCTTCACATGAGTAAGAATGTATATGCTTTCTTCTTTATAGCTTTCCATTGAAATAGGCCATGAAGTTAAACATCAAAATAAATTATTAGCTGAAATGGTAAGTGGCTATAGTTTTAACTTTAAGAAATTTGATCTAATATTCTCAAATTTAGTCTTTTAATTACGAATAATATTTTTTTAACTTTTAACCATTTTGAAATAGATCTAGAAATCCTAAATCCTGGATCCCCATCCATAATTGGCTTGGAATAACTATAAGGTTTATTTTTTACCCAAGTTTTATATTTTAACATCTTGCCTAACATGAGTAGGAGAAGGAGGTGGAAGCCAATATATCTTTAATCCAGTGACTAGAAACATTGTTAAAGACTCAGGACATAAGACTATCTTGAATGTTCTTGGATATCTCAGTGGATATAGACTACCAAGTAATCAAAAAACACTATATCCAATAAGCCAAATGTCTTTCACTTAACCTCATCCTATTTCTTTTGTTTGATCTCCTGAGGATCATTGCTGAACAAATCAGTAAGATTTCAACATAATAACATCCTAGAGCCTTTTATTTCTAGTCTAAACAAGGTCAGTGACATATATCTTTTCCTGTTGAAGCCGCTTCCCATTTAGTTTATTTGGATACTAATCATGTCCCAACCTTCCCTAGTTTCTCCCCATGGTTTTGAAGTTGTATTATTCAAAAATGAATATGATATTGAGAGCAATGTTCTTATGAAGGCTGTGCATTAGAATCACCTGGGAAACTTTCTGAAAATATCTGTGCCTGGTTCTCTTCACTCTAAATATATTGATTTAGCATTTCAGGGGGAGGACCGGTGTGTATGTATTGTGAAAAAAGCGTCCCTGGTGATTCTGTTGTGTAACTCTGGAGGAAAACTGTAGATCTAGGTAAAGTGCTTAACTCCATAGAGCCTGAGTTATATGCAAAGACATCTTTAATGCTGACACCTTTGCATTTCAGGATAAGTGATAATTCCTATGGAAGAGCAGTATTTCTAATCCATACCTAGTCCTCTCACCTTAACAACTTTTCCAGCTGTTCAAATATGGTAATTTTTAACCCATCTGTATGTGTAGTCTTTATCATATTTTACCACTTTTACATGATATTCTCTTAACTTTTAATAGACGGTGTCATACTTCAAGGTCAGCTATCTAAATAAAAGGATCTTTAAAATACAGGCACACTTAACTGCTAACCGTGTTAAATTTTGGATCAGTTTGGATACTAGGAAGCAGCCAACCATTTGGCCTTAGGAGAGCAACGCCATGACATAACGTGGGAAAAAGCCTGCATGACGGGACAAACTACTCATTTTATTGTTAACATGGTTTTTTAATGCACATAATTGTAATGAGACCTAAATAGTTTGGGACTTTGCATAACTCTGGAGCTGAAAGAAATGTTTATTGGATAGTGAAAGAGCTTTTTATTCATTGAGAGAATTACTCTGTTTTGCATGGAGTAATCAAGCTGATTACTCAAGTTACAAACAGGCTCCTGAATTGATTAAACACTAAAAATGTCATTAAAAATGTATTGTATAACATTATATTTAGTTACTAAAATGTGCCTGTGTGGAATATTAGAATCGATTATATTTTCTTTTCCTTTCTGCATAGGATACACAATTTGATTCTACGACTGGATTTCTAGGTAAAACAATGGAAAAACTGAAGATTTTATCCAGAGGGAGCCAAACAAAGCTGCTGTGCTATATGATGCTGTTTTCATTGTTTGTCTTTTTTGTCATTTATTGGATTATTAAACTGAGGTGATGCAAGTTACTGTGAGTTTGGAGTGCCACTTCAGTAAAAAACCAGCATCAAAACATTCCTAATGTTCAAATTCTATGACTTTTGCCATTGAATATTACTGAATTTTACTTGTTTTATAAATCACAGTAGGTAATACAGTGATCTTTGAATACTGTTTCTTAATGATTCATTTTGCCCCTATTTTCAGGGGTATTGAGAAGGCCTGAAGTCACTCTGGCCCCAACAATTTGTTTCTGTTGTTTGCTGTCAGATTAAGTAGCAGTATAGTATTTGGTTGTGGCCGTCAATGTAGGTTTATAGAGAACAGAGAATGCCTGGAGAGCCAGGTGCTGAGCTCCTGAGGTAGTGAACAGGTCTGTGATGGAGCGAGCGGTAAATGCATTTTCCTTATCTGTAACCAACCCTGGTGATGTACTCTCATTTCCTCCTGTATTTGTTTAAAATTATAGACTGACTTCTTTTTACCTATAATTTTCCTAGTATTTTTTGATGATATGACTCCCCTTACCCACTCTGTCCAAGGACCTCATTCTTTAATAAAGCTTATTGTTTTGGCATATTTCTGGTAAGGCTGCAAACAGATGTGAACCAATATAGTTGTTTAATATCAATTCTCTGTATACTGTTGACTTATAACAGTTTTTTTATTTTAGCCACTTACATAGGCCTTTTGGTTATGATTTGTGACAGAATAATGTGAAGCTAAAGTAATTGCTAAGCTCTAAATGGAAATAAAATGTTCAAGAAAATTAATTGCTTCCACTTTATTATGTACTTAGAATAGATAATCGAAAGTACTCAGGCTTTGAACTTGGGGTTAAGAATACTGTTGATTTAATCCAGTATGTTTGTTTATAGAAAGCAAAGCAGTTGGACTGATGGATAGAAAGAGATTAAAATGTTCTTAAATACTCTATATTGCTTCTATTTTGGAATTTGCCCATTTATGGGCTCCAAAAATAAAATTTTTAGTGAAAAATTAATTGGCTTTGTTGCTTCTTTATTCAAGCCTCTCTTATTAACCTAGAATCTAAGACATGTTCCTGAAAACTCAGTTTCCAAACAAAATCAGGAAGAATAAACATTATTTGTATTATTTCAGAGCTTGCTTTAAACAAAATAAATCATGAGTGCAATTTCAAAACTTTAATTCTTAATATTTTTAGTTATAAATCTGTTATATTGATTTTACTAAGTTTGCAGTCCTTCTTGCTCGCCCCTAACTACCTGTCAATTCAGGGCCAGTCTTGTGTGGCTGCAGTTGTCATCCTTTGGTTCTCTCCTTGACAGGTGGAAACACCAGATGTGAGACAGGGCTAAGCAACTCAGCATTTAAGAGACAGGCCTGAAGTGTGATGTTTGGGACACTGGTTGGAGTTGTATGACCTGGGTTTAAATCTCCATTCCTTCACTTCTGCGGTGTTCTGAGGCCTGTTTCTTCATTAAATCACCTATGTTAAAACATTGTTGTGAGAGGGAAATAATATATTGGAAAGTGTCAGACACATGATAATCACTCAAATGTTAGTTCTCCCTGTCATTAACAAGCATTTCAGAAAAGGGAGTTATTTTAAAGGCAAGACAATAAGTTGGTTTCAGGCTTTGAGGTGATGATATGACCTCCACTTAGAAATTTCTGTCAGACAAGTAGAGATTGATTCAATTTTCAAGAATTATTTAACTGCACTCTGTGCCAATTATGACATCAGAGCTCAGGGAAGACTGAGAAGTCATTGTCAATAATTAGTTTCCAAAAAGGGTAGAGCAGAAGGCCAAAGAAAAAGACTGGAAGATGAAAACAAGAGAACAATAGAATTAGATGAGCTCAAAGCCTTAGGGAAACTAATGATGGCAAAAGAAGAATGGATTGGAAGACTGAGGTTTTTCACTTTGCTAAATACTAAGACACTATTTAAATATCAGATTGTTAATAAGGAGGTAGGAATTTTAGGAAAAAGTTTGCAGGGGCTGTAAAAGTGATTCTCATTGCTGCACTGTCCAGTATTTCTCATTATACAATTTTTCAGAACTTCCTAAAACAGGTCCCTAGCCAGCTTTTCGTATCTCCCCCTCTCATCATTGCCTTTAAGGCTGAGATTCCTGGCAGGCAGGGAACTCTAAAAGAACCTGGCCTTCCCCATTAGATCTGTTGGCACCCATTTCTTCCTCTCTGTGCAGACCCCTAGGAAAAAGTACTCCCAGAAAAAATTGGCAGGAAACATCAAATATAGAAATGTTCTAATGCTTTATAATCCTGAAAAGAACTTCATTGCTATAGGTGTCTGGAAAGTTCATTGTAATAATTGAACAGGTAAGATATTTACATTATAGTTTCATTCAAACAACATAAGACTTGCAGATTTTGGGTGCTGGGTGACACACTATAAATTCTACATTTAAATGCCAAAGGTTTAGAGAACAATTTCTAAAAACCCCAAATGTCCATTTTTTTCTGCAAAATGTGTACTCACTCCATTTCACTGGGAGTTGGTCTTTGGAAGCGCACTGAAACATTTGCAAGGATAGAAACCATAGTTTACCTGTACCATCCCCTACAGATACCAGGCATAGGTCTTTAAAATGAGAAAAGGGAGGATTATACGTATTATCAATAAAATTTAAATAGCATGCAAATTAAATCTTGAGCAGAGAGTCATTAAATCTAAAACGAATATGTAACATTTTAAACAGAATGAGCAGAAAACCCAAGCACCTACACCCATGGGAAGCTTCTGCTTCTAAATGCTCTTAAATTTCAAATTATATGTATTGAATTTGCTTCCTTGTAGAGAAAGTGGAAAAACTGCTTGATAATTTGGGTTCATTGAGTCAGTAAATAACTTCATCAGCCCATAGTAATGAATCAACTTTGAACATTTACCGGGAAGCAGAATGATACGACAGTGAAGACTAGAAGCTACAAAGTCACACTGCCTGAGCATAAATCCTGGCTCCGCCACTCACATTATGAATTTGTGTTTATGACCTTGCCACCTCAATTACACTATCTGTAAAATGGGAACAAAAATTATATTTAGGTAACTCCTAGAGTTGTTGTCGTAATAAAAGGGTATCACGTTAGAGTGGGTTCCTGGTACCCAATGATAGTTGTATTTGTAGTTGTGTGGTTGTGGCACTTGGGAATTCTGATTTGTCACACTAGCCCAGACACTGCTGACCAAAGTTTGGCTGCTTTCTCCCCCTCTACTGTCCTGCCAAGGATGAAAGTAGTTCTTGTCTTCTAGGAAAGGCTAATTTTTTGTAATTTAGTTCATGCAGTTACAGCCTTAACAAACTGGTGGGATTTTTTGTTAAATCTACGATTTCTTCAGTATATCTATCTGGCTTGTTTGAGTTATTAGAGTGAGAGCAACAAACTTCAACTTTGTAGAAGCAGAAGTTTAAAGGTAAACTTAGAAGTTCCGTTGCCTGTAGAGATTTGATGAACAGTTGATAAATACTCTATTTCATTTTACTATAGTTAAATTTTTTTCTATATATTTTTAACTTTATTCTGTTTTGAAACTATTATGATGTGAGGTGAGGGGCACAGATGGTCTTTTTTAATTTATAAAGTGCCGATTAGTTATTCTCACAGTAAATATTAAATAACACTTTCTTTTCCCTCCCCTTATATATTGTTACAGTATATGATAGGGTCTTTTTCTGGTATATGTATTTTGTTCTATCCAATTCTTTACTCTTGTATCACACTATTTTAATTATTGAAGTTTCATAGTGTCTTAATAGTCAATAGATACTCATTCTTTGCAATTAACTTCATTATCCTTCAATAATTTTTTAACAAAGCATAGTGGGTTTTGAAAAGAAACACATTAATCTTTTATAATCTCAGAGAAAAATACTTTTTAAATTTTTCTCTAACTGGAATGTTGGGTTTTGATTCCAAGCAAATCTCTAATTTACTTTCATTATATGCTTGTATTTAGTGGTATAATTGTAAACCAACTCTCTGGGGCTTGGAAGGGTGAGGTGGGAGTGTGATTTGTAGTAGCTTTTTACTTCTGTGGTGTGAATATTCCCACTACACTTGATTTCAAGCTACCCAATGTGACACCACTGAATATGGAGTTGTGAAGACACCTGCACCATCGGCTCTCATGAGCTGGTACAAGCTAGCCTAGTGCTACAGTTATACTGATGGTAAGTGTTCTTTTAAGAGATGTAGAACTGAGTTTCCTAACTGAAAACCTTTCACTTAAATTTTAATAGAAAAAAGCTCAGGCAACATAAAGTTAAATTGGTAAATCAACTGGAGGATAATATTTTTTCAATGGCAACGGATGCTTGGAAGATCATCTACATTTTGTATATGTCAAGTTTGTTCTCAATCTGTATGGGTAAATTCATGCCTCATTTATTGACCTTCCATCTTCTGATAGTTCAAATATGAATCATATATTTGAAAAAAGGTAGGTGATCATTGTTATTCTCCATTCTTTTCCCTGCAGGTAAGTGTTCTAACAATGTGCAGGGGTTGCTCTGTATACTTTATATAGTTTCATAAAACCACAGCATTCTAATATTCAAATTTAAGGCTACTATAATTTTAATACACTTGCTTAAGTTCTCTGTATCTTCATATGCCCTGGAATAAATCACCAGGACATTCTCATCTAATAAGGTTTAATGTAAGTTAAATATGTGTGTGAGAAAATGCAAAGGGGTGAAGAATATATGTTATATATATGTGTATATATATGTATATATATACATAGAAAAAAGTTCAGTCATTTTTGTATTTATATAATCTTTATAACCTAAATTACATTAAACTTTTTTGGAAGACAGGCATTCTAAGGGCAGGTAGTACAAAAACTTATGTTAAGTAGTTTGCTTTTTAATTGTGTGAGTGTTGATTTACTCAATACATAGTTTTACTTTTGTTCCTAGTAATGGAAAGATGTGTGTTTTCAGGAAGTGAAACTAATTTGTAATTAAACAATTCCTACTGGTACTAATCTATACCAGGTAACCTCAAAATGGGTTACTGTGTCACATAACCATGAATATTTACTCATGACTGTTACATTTTTGTTCTGATACATACCGAAAGCTGTTATAACTTCATATATCTTGGAGCTGTACTAGCTGGTATTTAAAACCTGTTTCTTACTTACCAATGAGGAACTTTTTAAAATCTGATACATCTTCAAAGAATGTCCATGTGGCCTCTGATGACCACATATGCCACGGCATACTCAGTTTTTCTATATTGTAGAGTATGAATTCCTAATAATAAAAGAACATGAAAATCGTAGAAAAGAAAATTTTAACTATCAAAAATAAAATATTTCTGTTTGATTCTTTCAAGAAAGATATATTTGGTGACTACCAACATAAGGGGCCTTATGTTAAACACCTGTGTTTTCTGTAGAGCACTTGGCACAACAGTAGATCCTAAGAAGTGTTTGCAGAATGAATTAATGTTCCCTGAGAAGAGAACATATCTTTTTTATCACCTCTCACTAAAAACTCCAGAGCTGATACCATAGCTTTTAATAAAAATATGTGGCTTGATTAATAAGGGACCAAGTTCAGTTATTAGTGAGCTTTGAATATTGGAGGCACAATACTGTAACCATTAGGTTAAGGGCCAAAAATTGTTGCTAATTTATAATTCTTATAATTTCCCCTTTATAAAGCTGAGAGACAGTGGGTTAAAATGGAATGCTATGCCCACACTGCCAGGAATGGATGCTCCTTAATCAGGCACAAGTGGCAGAAAAGTT